TTAAAAAATTGAATAAATTACACTCAGACTCCCTGAGGTTAGGTTATATTTCAACTAAATGAAAATTTTGGTTTTAACTTTCACTTACACCCAAATTTACATTTTGGCTTCTGACACATGTGAATTGAACCTTTTACTCTCAATTTTTTAGTACAAAATATATATAATTTTAAATGACAAAAAAACCCTATCTATAATGCCAAGAAAGAAGGATAATGCTTAGCTACTCACCGGTGAGTAGCTTCATCTTACTCACCTCTTGTGTGTTCCAATAATAATTTAGCACATCAATTTTAATAGAAAAAATAACACACGTACCCTTGGATCAACCATTGAATAAAAGTGGGTTATTTTTTTTTATTAAAACAAAATTATTATTAAAACACACAAGGAGTGAGTAAGGTGAAGCTACTAGAAAGAATTGGTTAATTACATTGGTTATCTGTAAGACTGAGTTGAGCTGGGTTTCGAAGGGGTGGTCAGATGTACACGTGGCGGTGACGTTTGATCAGACGGAGGAGCTTTTGAGTTTGATAAGACAGAGCGAAGCTAGGCCGTTGGATTGCAAGGATAAGGAGGGGAGGACACCGTTGCATCTTCGTCTTCAACTTGCCCCAATTTTTTGCTGTGGAACAGAGCATCGGAAACCATACGCTGCTGCCGCCGAAAATTGCATTGATCATCGTCGTAGCCGCCGTGTCGCAGATCGTCGTCGTTGTCGCAAATTATCACCGCTGCCCCAGATCGTCATCATTGTTTAACGACTTGAAGGGGTAGTGGTGGTGGTTATAGGGGCGAAGATGGTAGCTGGCTGGTGGTGGTGGTTACGGAGATAGAGAATTGGTAATGGCTAGGTATGAGGATTGTGGCGCTGTTGTTCCACGGAATACATGTGGAGGTGGGGATGGCAGTGGTGGTAGGAATGGAGGCGGCCCGGGCATCGATTGTGGTGGTAGCACAGCCACCAATATTGGTGGTGTGGTATTGGAGCCGCCATTATTGACGACTCATGGTGGTGTAGTTGATTTGGGGTGATTACCAGTGACGACTCGTGTGTGTATATCTATATATATATATCTCGAAAGTACTATGCATTGACCTTTTTTTAAGAAGTTTCTTATATGAGTTTCACTTTGAAAAATCCGTTTTTTAAGAAGTTTGAAGCAAATTTTGTTCCTAGATTTTTAGGAAGTAAATTGGCCAAAGATCTGACTTTCTCATGCTATTGGTGACTTTTTATTTTTATTTTTTATTTATATATATATAACAGTGAAAAGGTGGCCGTGTAACTAAAAGCGTACTCAATTCTGGACACTACCATTTATGCTTCTGTGTGCATATGTATCTATTTTAATGAAGTAATCTATTTTTACAAAAAAAAAAAAAAAAAAAAAAAAAAAAAAAAAAAAAAACTACATAGTAAAACCTTTCATTCCTTTCTATTTCATAGTCTTTGTAAATATTGCCACAGGTAGAATTCAAGCTTCAAAAAGAAGTTTGTGAACTTCTTTGCGAGACATCAGCATTACATAATTCTGAACAGGCATAAAGAGTACTTATTTTTAACAAATATATATATATATATATGTATATATATATATATATATATATATATATATATATATATATTATACTTATGATTGTGTGTGCATATGTATCTATTTTAATGTGTGAATTGGGGATGATGATGGTAGGAGGAGGAGGAGGAGGAGGAGGAGGAGAGGAGGAAAGGTGTATGTTGAGGACATTTTGGAAAGGTGTACGTTGAGGCATATGTATCCACTTTAAAAAAAACACTCGATGAACTGTGGATTGAGAAATTCGACGTAATAGAGTTCCACCCTCAACACGTACCTTTTGACATGTAAAAGTTTATGGAAGTCTCGACTAGCTTCGATTGGCAAAATTCTGATATCTGCTCCACTTTGCAAGAGACCTTAAACAAAGTCCATCTAGACCACACGGTACAAGTAATTTTCGAAAAGAATGAGAACATCCTTAATCTCCTTACTTATTGCATCCTTAAAGTCAACTCTTGAATCTATCCCATCCCAAACACTGGAAGTTTCAACATGTGTAAAACAGCAAAGCTTGTTATTTCGCTATTCATGAAACCTCACTTTTCCAATTGAATTTCCAAAGTTAATTACTGACTCTATATGATACTCATCACTGAATCACTGATATTAGAATTATCATTAAAATTTGTACAGCAAAGCGAGCCATCCAAACTAATAGCCAGCCCTTCAATTGGGCCAAGGTGGGATCTAAAGTGCTTTGTAAATTCAAGGCCAACATGCTTCTTCTTCCAAATTTCTTTATACCCATCAACAACCCCAAGTCTGAAAAATTGTACTGCTGAAATGGCAACATGTGTAACAACATCAACATGCGTACAGGGGCGGAGCCAGGATTTTGAGATTGGGGGGCCAAAATTATAAACAACATTACCTAGCTAAAACTTTGAAAAAAAATATATATATTACGTGGGCAAAAATATTTTATTATTTATTATATTCATACAAAAATATATCTATTTAAATTTTTTTCAATTTATTTAAATAAAAAAAAAACTAGTTATTTAAAGAAATTTTTTATCAAACTTTCTGAACAAACACAAATAAGATTTATGCCAAAATTATAAAAAAATTCAATTAAATAACTCTCTTTATTTACCGAAAAGGGAAAGAAAAACAAAAATAACTTTAAAAAAAATGTAACAATTGAAAATTTAACAAAACAATAACGATGATAAAAAAAAAAAAAAACACAAACAAATTAATAAAATAAAATTTTAGATTCTTAAATCATCGATTTTTGTTGATATTCAAAACTTCAAATGAAATTTTTGTTCTTGATTTTGTAAAAATTAATTTCTTATAAAATTCTTATAAAAACATTTCAATAAAAATGAATAAAAAGAAAAAAAAAAAAGTGATGGAAAGAATCATGTATGAGATGAAATTTTAAAATAATAAGATTATGGAAAGAATTGTACTAGTCACATTATGGAAAAAACAGTATTTGAGTTGAAACTTTAAGACAGACGCATTAAATTTTTATGTGAATTAATTTTTATCGGGATTCTATAGTCGTTAATTAAAATACTATATAAACTATCTTTTGTTAAATTCTAATTAAAGAAATAATTTTTTTTTCTCAGGGGGGCCAAGTATAAATTTTATACTATATATACTATATATACTATATATTTTATTTTTACTTATACTAAAAAAAATTTCCAAAAAATTAGGGGGGCCATGCCCCCGCCGGCCCCCCTTCCCTCCACTCCCTGCATGCGTATAACTCTTCTCAAACACGTTGGCAGAGGGAAGGGAGCCGATATAGACCTGCTCGAACTGGAGAGGACGCTTGAGACCAGCACGAGGGGACAAGTCGCGTCTAATAACAGAATCTTCCACAGTTGTAATCTTCCTTGCTTGTTACCATTACAGAACTTCATTCTCGTTTTGAGGCACCTCCGTTTCTTGCATGGTTTTATGAAAGAAGTCTGTGTGGTAACCAGTGAAGAGGTCAAACTTTGTTAAGCCAGCATGCTCTCCCGAGTCTTCATCTTCATCCTTCAGACATGGAACCATGTGAAATTGCCCCTGAAAATATTTTATGGCTCCGTCCCTGACTCTATATCCAACTCTTTCAAGCCAATAGTTGTTTTCTGAAGTTACATGGGCAATTTCATTCGTCTGCTCATCATCAATATTAATGTGTTTGTCATCTCCAATGGATTCAGATACAATTTATAATGTTGCTTACCATTAATTGCATAAGAACTACTGGTTGTTGCTTTTACAAAATCATCACTACTCTCGATGCCATCGTTGACAAACCGTCTCTTTTTCTTACAATTTTGATATTGTCAATACAACATCTGCTCATAATTTGGCGGTAAAAAATTAGCTATCAACAACCTTTCCAACTTTGACCATGATTGTACAAGTTGTTTTCCTTGCTACCTTCGATTAGTTTTTCCTTGTTCCCACCAAGCTGAAGCACCTTTCTTAAGCATGATTGCTACAAGAGGAACTTGCTTGTATTCGGGTATATCAAAATACTCAAAGACGTAATCAACTTCATCAAGAAATCCTCAACACAAAAACTCGAAGTAAAAGTAAGTAATTTGAGTTTTTTTTTTTTTAAACTTACGATTGTCCAGATATCGAATCTGTATAAGCTGGAGATCTACGTGGATAAATACGAACATAATTCATGCTCAGTTGGCTGCGGGACACATCATCAGCGTGGACACAAATTGAACCATGAACCTGATTGCCACCAATCCTAAAACCCTATTGCTACAAACCGATCTTGAGTATGCATGGCTACCCAAGGGGCATGTACTCACCGATCTTGAGTAGCCTAATGCTATCATTATCTTCCACATTGGATTCTATACAGAGACGGAGGGAGCTAAAGAACCGCCCGTTTAGGGGGTCCCTTGGATTTTCTCCCTCTCTTATATTTTATATGTATTTTATAATTATATATATATATATATATATATATATATATATATAATAAATATATAGAAGGTGCCCTCCTCAATTTTCTCATTCTTCATAGAATTTTATAATAATATATATATATATATATATATATATATATATATATATATTTAATAAAAATATAGAAAGTGCCCTCCTGAATTTTCTCATTCTTCATAGAATTTTATATATGTTTCCTAAAAAAATATCATTATCTCTTTCTATATATATATATATATATATACTCATAACTATTGAGTTATATGCATGTACATTATATTGTAAATATTTATCTTTATGGTGTACAATACTACAATGTGCCCCAAAAAAATTTTCTGTCAATATTCATGTGTTTGTCATCTCCAACGAATTCAGATACAATTTATAATGTTGCTTACCATTAATTGCATAGGAACTACAGGTTGTTGCTTTCACAAAATCATCACTATTCTCGATGCCATCGTTGACAAACCGTCTCTTTTTCTTGCAATTTTGATATTGTCGATACAACTTCGGCTCATAATTTGGTGGTAAAAAATTAGCAATCAACAACCTTGCCAACTTTGACCATGATTGTACAAGTTGTTTTCCTTGCTACCTCCGATTAGTTTTTCCCTGTTCCCACCAAGCTGAAGCATATTTCTTAAGCATGATTGCTAACAGAGGAACTTGCTTCTGTTCAGGTATATCAAAATACTCGAAAGACGTAATCAACTTCATTAAGCCAATCTAAGAAATCCTCAACACAAAAACTCGAAGTAAAATAAATAATTCGAATTTTTTTTAAACTTACAATTGTCTAGATATCTATAGTTTGATTAACCACAACTCCTCTAAATCTGAACTTCTCATCATCGAAAGAATCCACATAGGCTGGAGATCTACGTGGATAAACACGAACATAACTCATACTCGGTTGGTTGCGAGACACATCATCAGCGCGGACACAAACTGAACCACGAACCTGATTGCCACCAATCCCAAAACCTATTGGTACAAACCAATCTTGAGTATGCATGCTACCCAAGGGGCGTGCACTCCCCGATCAACGTCGCTAGAGCTGTTGCTACCAAAACCTGTTGCTGCCAAAACGATCAACCACCATCCAACCAAGGTACGACAAGGCTCTGATACCAATTGATGTGGCGGAAGCCATTAGACATTCACAAGGGTTGGGTTACTTTGGATCCATAAAGTAGGTGTTTTGAATCCATAAAACAAGAGATAAATTCATAAAAAATTCTGAAATATTATTGATAAAAAGTTAAATTATGCTCTTGCAGTACAAGTACGTGAATATTTATAATAGAGAAACCATAATACCTTAAAGGAAACTAATTGCTTATGTAAACTAAAAATATAATGAAACTAATGGTAGAAGGAAATTAAAAACTTAAAATTAAACTCCCTAAAAGAAATAAAAAATAAAAATAAAAAAATAAAAAATAAAAAGAATAAAAAAATAATATAAAATCTACTAAAATTGTCCAACATCAGTATAAAATCAATAAAAATCATAAAAATGAATGCACAATATAATTCTAAAAAAAAAATTGTAGATAAAATTCGAGGAAAACCCCATATTCATATGGGTCTGACGGTTGGTTGTAAATACCAATATAGTGTTAATAATAATTACTGGTACATAATATGTATAATATTATAATGATAACATATATATATATATATATATATATATATATATATATATATATATATATATATCTCAAGGGTAAACAAAAGAACCTGATAAAGAAGAAGTGTACGCGCAGCAATGGTTGACTATATGTGGCTAAGAGTGATAATATAGTAGATCTATATGTGAGATATATATAAAATAGGTACAAGGTCATTTTTGTCCCAAAAATATATTAGAAAACTCAATGTTCAAGCTCCCTTTCAACTAACTTTCGTCAATAAAGTTACCCCTCGAATGGTTGAGGGGCCAAAAAAATAAAAAAAAGAAATTTAGTGCAAAACACAAATAGAAAAGAAAGATTTAATGCACTTCACCCTTAAAAAAATATAAATATTTGGCTGCATTCTAATATCCTTAGGTTTGTGTATCTGATGCATCTTATGCATGCATACCAACATCCCAACATCCCATGTAACATAGCCTTTAACGTGATAAATAACAAACAGTTTTGCAAATAATTGAAATATGAAAATTATGGTTGAATTGATTCTGTTATGTATGTATTTCTCATCTTTGAAGCAACAGTTAGAATGGTAATGCCATAATGAACAATAGTGCCCACAAACTGATTTAGTACTTTCCACAACCAAATACAAAATGAACTTCAACACAACCTCCACCCCACTAATCAAAAAAGAAAAAAAACAACACAAATTTCAAGATTTTTACTTCAGTCATCAGATTTCAAATTTCCAATTATGCGGCAAATTGTATGGATAAAAATATTAGTTATATCTAATATTTTGAAATTTATATTTATTGCGGTCACTAAGTCACCTAATTGAGTGAAATGTTAAATTCATCACCACCATAATAGCCTTTGTAAATCTAATAATTTATAGAAAAAGAGTACCTATTCAACCAAATACCCAGATGCTGATACACACACACACACATATAACATGTACACATGTACTCTAGTACGGTAGTACCTGATAGGTGGAGTTCTTGGTGTAGCTATAAGTGCCATCTCCACCAATCATCGGATATGATTCTGTCATTGCGACTGCTTCCTTGTTGCTCTGCTTTCCCTCCCCGCCAAATTAATTGTGCGAGATTTCAGAACTCTCTACTATATTATATATATATATATATATATATATATATATATATAAAATATAGACACACACACATAATAGATAGTAGATGTATAATATTTACACACTTTTGACTTTGGTATGAACGCGGGGTCCACAATAATGCTGAACTATATACTCGGTATATGTTGTCTGCATTGGCGGCTCCATGTGCCGTGTACCATTGATGATTGTAGTACCATTTTGTCAATTTGTAGGGCCAAAGTTGAGAAATGAAAATGCATTGTTGATTTGGTATCATTTGAATTTTCAACGAAATTGTCCATTCATTGGGAGTTGCGTACTAAGACTCACCCAAAAAAAAAAGTTACTTATATTGAGAGATTGAGATTTGGGAAGAATTCCATAGGCGGGACATTTATTTTATTTTATTTTATTTTTCTTTTTTAGTCGGATAATACCATTACATCTATTTAGTAATTGTCTATGATTAAAGTGAGAATTGGAAAGCTTTTTCTCTTACCACCTTGTACATACAAATTAAATTCCAAACAAAAACACAATTGTCTGAATAGAAAGGTCAGTATTAGTTGAACTATCACTTTCTGAATTCTCTAACTCCAAGCTAGACAATAAAAAATATAAGGGAAAATTAGAGATTAGCCCTTCTTTTGCACTCACTAATCCCTATAAGTGCATTATAGATTTTTTGGGCTTCAATTTGAAAAGCTGATCATTATTGACTTACCTCATTCACCATATCCATAAGCGTAGACCCAAGGAAATCAAATATCAGACCAGGCATGAGCACTACCATTATCCTGTCCTTTTTAAACTCCAGCCACAATCTCTTTTGCTATGGCATTCAGAAACATCTTCATGTCCTTTGTAAACTGAGCTGCATAAGCATTTGTTACTTCCTCCGAGGCACTTGTGTAGTAAATTCTTCCACTGTTCCATGTTTGTGATTTTAGCTCAGAATGAGACTCATATAATATTGAATATCTGTTTGACAACATTTATTTAGCTCAAAATGAGACTCATATAATATTGCAGACTCAAAATGGACAACAAAATTAAGAAAATTCTAAAGGGAAAAAAAAACCTAAAATTCAAGATTTATACTTCAGCCACCAATGTATTGGGTTTAGCATTATCTGTTTTAAAATTTTAAAATTCTAAAAGGCAAACTGTCATATAGATGTTTTCCCTTACAAGTAACTGAGAGAATTATATTTATTGGGGTCAATAAGACATCCAAATACCCAGATGGTGATATACATATACATATACATATATATATGTATGTATGTATATGAAGCGTGTAATCTACTTATCTGATAGGTGGAGTTCTTCGTGTAGCTGTAAGTGCCATCTCCACTATTCATCGGATATGATTCTTTCATATTTTCCTCTCTGCCAAATTAATTGTGTGAGACTTCAGAGCTTTTTTCTTCGCTTTGTATACGGTCAGTCTCTCATACAATTGGGAGGCAGGAACTTCTAGTCTCCATTGGCGGCTCCATGTGCCGTGTAACATTTGACCATTGTACTACCATTTTTTTCACTCTGAAGGACCAAATTTAAGAAATGAAAATGATTTTCTTAATTTTGTATAACGTGATTTGAAAAAATTGACAAAGAGATCCTAACAATGGTAAATTGACTTTATTACTCTTTGATATAAAATAAATATTTTAATTGACTTAAATAGCCTTGGATCAAACCCTAACACAAACCCCTCTCAAGTACAACCCATCTGAGAACCCTCTCTCTTTCTCTCTATATGTATGTATGTATATATATATATACTCGCGCGCGCGCACACATACACATACATCACCACCACTACATATACCACCGCCGCTGCATCATCATCACACCTCAGCCACTGCCGTATCATCATCACACCTCAACCGCCACAACTGCCACCCCATCATCATCAGTAGTAGCAATATCCTCATCTACACACATCACCACCCCCAGTTCTTGACCTAGTTCACACCAGGAACCTCAACGATCATCAACCGAAGAGACCATAAGTTCATGTGAGCCTCAATCATCTTTAGCCAAACAGGTAAAGTTTGAAAGACCCAGATCGATGTACTGTTCCGGTGAACTCTAAGCTTAAACCAAAGGGACTTGGATGGAACGGCGAGGAGATCCTATATTGTAATCGACATGAAAGGGCTCTAATCTGACGGCGGAGGCAATGACCTATTGATTAGACAATCGGGTGAGATGGGTCCCGTGGTTAGAGTACTCAGCAACGAAAAGGGGATGTACTCAGACGACAGAGGCGATGACCACATCTTAAATTGGACGGTAGAGGCGATAAGGTTCAGATGAGCATGTTTTGGCGAGCGTCACCTGCAAGGCCGATGAGGTGGCAGTGGTGGTGGCGATGGCTCTTCTTCGGTGCCCATCTCTGATTTGCGATTCTCTTCTTCGTACTCCATCGGTAGATTTAGATCTGTGGTGGTGGTGGAGGGGAAAATGGGTGGTGGTGGTGGCAGAGCTCTTCAGGCGAATAGTGGTTGTGATGGTGGTGACTGGTGTGTGGTTGTGTGTGTGTGTGTGTGTGTGTGTATATATATATAGAGAGAGAGATATAAAAAGGGTAATTTGGTCATTTAATTATTTTGATATTTTACAATTAAAATTAATAAAATAGTAAAGGATAAAGTAGACTTTTCTCATGTTTTAAGACTTTGTTTGGATTGCAAATCTCACAAGGTGGTGTCATTGTCTAAAAATATGACAACTTGTACATGTGTGTCCTTACCCCAAACCTCAGTGGGTGTCAATGTACTTTACCAAAATTTTAAATACTTCAACTATCGTTTAGAATTCCTTTCACACAATGCTCTTCTTCCACATTCTCCTTATCCTTTTTAATTTCTTCGCCTCTTCATAATATCAATTGAAACCCCTTTTATAAAATAACCTCCATTAAAATATAGTTCCATCAAAACTGATGTAGGGTAAAAAGTAAAAAATATATAATATATTAATAAATGGAGGGGGACATATGGGGCCAATGCATAAATGTGAAAGAAAGAAATAAAAAGGGTTTATCCTGTGTAGCAATATATAACTTGTATATATATATATATGTGTGTGTGTGTGCGTGTATATATATATATATGTATATATGTATGTATGTGTATGTTACATGTTGTAGGTGGTGTAAGAAATTACTCCCTCTGTCCCAAATTAAGTGTCGTCTTTGGGAACTGTGACTTATATTGTTGTAAGTCACAATTCCCAAAAATGATACTTAATTTAGGACGGAGGGAGTATTGTAAATAATGAAGGAGTGAGAGGTGTGATAGTGAATAGTTCAAAATAATGTGTGCTTACTACCTAGTCAATGCATAGGTGAAATAAGAGTATGAAGTAGTTATAAAGGAGAAACATGAAGAAATCATGTTGTGCGGAGCCAATAAAGAAACAGTGTTATGCTAGAAAATGTGGTTCGATGCGTTGTTGGAAAAGTTAGAAAAATTAGGTAAAGGAGTCAGCTGCACAATCGCAATATCCAGAAGGACCAACTATATATATATAAGTAATGTGAAGGAAAATTCATTCAACCTATTTTAAAATGAAAATATGAGTAAATTATAACTCTTTTGAGTTTTAGGGCTTTTGCTCTTTCTATCATTCAACTTTCACAACGTTAGTTGGTATCAAAGCCTTGATTTACCCTGGTCTGATGTTGACTGATTATGAGGTAGTAACCGCTTTGCGACGAAGATCACAAAGTGCAGGCCCATTGGGTAACCATGCATACTCAAGAACAACGATTTAGACAAATTTATAGTCTTGGGATTTGTGGCAACCAAATTCATGATCTTGTTCGGGTTCATGCCGAAGATTTTCCTCGCAGTCAATATAATATAGGTTATGTTCCTATATATCCATGCAAGCCTTTAGCCTATACAGATTATTTTGAGATGTGAAGCTTGATTTAGAGATTTGAGGTGTTAAGAAGACTTTGTGTGTGGTATTTTTGGTGTTTTGTCTTATGGTAAGGATTATTATAACTTAGGAGATTTTGATGCTTTTCTGATTCTGTGGAGTTCGATCCATTATCACTTGAGGGCACAGACTTGTCAGGCTTTGGATTCGTACTTGGGAGTTGTTTGATAGAGGCATTTTAAGGAGTCTTGATTTGATTAAAGTGACTTGATTTAGAGGTTCTATGATTTTTGAGTTGTCGGTTTTCTTTGTATTGAGGATTTAGCGCCTTAAGTGTGACAGTGTCGATGGTATTGTTGTCAAAGTTTTGGGATTGGCCGAGATGGTTTAGTCAGATGTCTTTGGACCATACCCCAACTCTTACAGAATATCGGGTTACCGTAGTGCTTTTGGCAATGATTGTTTTGTGACATTGATGTCATTTGTATTGAGAGGTTTCATGGGTAGACTTAGTGGGGACATGTTATGAACTAGGGCTATATACTGTCATGTTACTGTACGAATTTGTGTGTTGTGGGTAGGTGCTGGTTGCCGGTAATGCTACCTTACTGACGAGTAAGTGTGGGCGGGTTCTAGACACTGCCATACTACTATACATTTGAGTACATTATGGGTGGGTTCTAGTTGCTATTCATTCTGCCACGCTACCTTTTTTGAGGTACCTTGATTTAATTTGCTGTTGTTTTGAGTTCTTTTGGTAATTGTCTTTGGATTCATAAGTTGATTTAGTTGGTGACGTGTTTCACGGTTTTATAGTTTCCTGTTCTTTTGTTTGATCTTGAGGTTTTGGGAGTTGTCCTTTGGTACTTGATGATGCATTTCTGGACGTGACCTTGTGGTTGGTCCTTATTTTGTTCTCTATAGGATGTGTCTATTTTCGGGAACGAAATCTCTTTAAAGAGGGTAGGTTGTGATGACCGTGTCATCTTTGTCCTTTTTGCGACATTCATTATTTATTTAATTATTTATTTATTTGTTCAATTCTTTTCTTATTGCCTTATGGTTTTGTGTTCGGAAATGTTTTACGACATCACATGCATTAACTTTAATTTAATTTATTGTTAATGCCTAAATTAATTGTGTAGAAAAGCATGCTTGTTTAATTTCATTTCCTAGGGGTATAAATGCATAGTTTCTTCAGAAACAATTTAATTTTTCATGGTTAATTGTGTAATTAACTTTCTAAGATATTTTGGCTGAGGGACCTTTTTGTAATTATTTTTGTGAGATGTTTAGAAGATGGACCTTTTTGCAATTTTGAAAAGTGTGACAAGTGTCATATTTTCCTTCGATCATTTGTTGACTTTTGGTTGGAGACACCTGGAAGCATTAGATGAAGATAAGTGGAGGGTAGTGATTAAACTTTGTGAGAATGCCTAAGATCATGACAAGTGGAGGGGTGTGATGTGTGTGTGTGTGTGAGAGAGAGGTAGTGTTAGTATTGTATTTGTGCCTAACAACTTCATTAGTTAGTGGAATTTCTAGTAAAATCACTTTGTCTTCCTCACCTTTCACCTAAGCCACCATTGAAGCTTGAAACCCTAGCCTTGGAAGCTTATTTTCAACCCTCTTCCACTAAGCTTTTGGTCTTGCACTTCGAAGACAAAAGCTTCCCCTCACCATTGTCTACCACACCTTGTCTTAGATTTCCACTTTGCTTCCATTTTCCGTTGGTTTCTAGAGAAACAATTCTCTAGTGAGGTAGGGGGTGTTTTATGTTTATACCCTTAGTGTTTTAATGTGTTATTTGAGGTTAATATACATTGTATACATGTTATTTAAATTCTAGGGTTGTATATGGATGAAAGTTGTATATAACTAACCTAGAGTTTCATATTGTTCAAGGCTTGTATGTGATTTACTTCTTGTATAGGTGTTATTTCATTTGGTAGAGAATTAAAATCTAGTGATTTATTATAGTGTAACTATAGACTTTTTACATGATTCTTACCAATGAATTAGTTGAGAAATTGATACTATGTTGTTGTGTGATTAAGGAATTGAAATTCATTATACATTAGCATGAATGGATTTCCTATGTTGACAATTTTGTAGTAGCTTAGTTTCATTCACATTTTGAACTTGTCATTGCAACGACCATTGTTGTTTTGAAGACTTAGAGTATGGATTGTGTGGTTACATTTTTAAGGCTTATAATACTAGCATGATCAAATCCTTTATGTGAATAACATAATGTTAGTTTAAGTGTGACAAATTAATGACTTGATTGAATGACTATTGAGTAGTTTACATTGTTTTAGTATTGTGAACTTATTGATATATTGTCTATGTGAGTGAATCATAGTGTGTGTGTGTGCCACTTTGGCCTTAGGAGCATGGTGGTCATCATTTTGTTCATAAAGTTCATAAGGTTATAAGTTGTGTGTGTACGACATGCATAACATGATTGAAAGATAGAAGCTATCCGAACTTGAGAAGTGGACATCGAGTCCAAGGGATGAAATTCC